GATTGACTGGAATTCACTGAGGTTTGAAGTGGGACATTTCAACTTGAATGTTCCCACTTCCAACCTTGTCTCGAATGCAGCATAAGGCCATGTCCACAAAATCTTCACCCTGGCGGGCGTTTTCAAAAAATGTTCGGTTTCAGTGACCTGGTGCTGCGTTTGCGTGTGGACGAACAGCCTAACCGCGTAGAAAAGGCTGCGGTTTTAAAAATAACCGCGTTCGTGTGGACAGGGCCTAAGTTCCAATCCTAATCAAACACACCTGAACCAACTAATCAAGGTCAAGCTATAACTTGATCAAGATTAAAGCTAAGCGCTGCAGGAAAGTGGATCTCAAGTGCCTTTTCTACTGGGATTACTTTTAGAGCAGGGGTGTCCAGTCTTGCTCCGGGAGGTCTACTGTCATCCAGCGTTTTGCTCCAATCCTAATTTTACACACATGAACTAACTAATCAAGATCATCAGAATTACTAGAAACTTCCAGGCAGTTGTGTTGGAGCAGGTTGGAGCTAAAGCAGGACACTGGAGTAGGATTTAACAAATTAGAGTTACACAAACGTACAACCATGTTTACTCAAATCAGTGGTTCCCAATCCTGGTCCTGGAGAACCCCCAACACTGCACATTTAGGCTACGTCCACACGAAGCCAGAGCTTTCCCTATACAATCTTTTTTTTCCCCCTCGTCTCAATAAATATCTGCGTCCAAACAAAACCATGACACCGACACAAACCAATGTAGTATACATGCCAGACCACCAGAACTAAATGTACAGTACTAAAGTACTGGGTCGATTTTGTGCGAACTATTTTCCAGTACCATTTAAAGGGTTGCTTTCGCACCGACAGTGTGTACTAGGAAGTGACGTAAGCCAGTCGACAGCGACGTCATTTGTGCGCGGCATTCAACAACAGAAACAAAGAAAAATAACGTTAACAACAGGAGGATAGAGGACGCTGTGATCGGAGCGGTGTTTTTGTGTCTCGCTGGTTTCACAATAATGGACATGGAATGTCGACGTATACGTAAAGCGATTGAAAGAACAGAAAGGAGGACTAAGAATCTCCAACGACAACTGGCAGTGCTACATTTGTTACAAGTGCCTGCACTTCAGCGTCCGTCCATCTTGCGAAATAAGTTGACACAATGTTTACAGTATGTTTACACACCGTTTTAAATCATGGTTTTAAAAACTTACGCGTTTGGCCAATCAATGTCTACTTATGTCACGGGTAGTACCAGTTGTGCTGGTTAGACCCTGCTCCGGAGTAGGAGCTAATTTGGTTCTCGAAAAAGGCAGTCCGGTACTAAAATCGCACCCAGTTCCGGCGGTGCGAAAACGCCAAAAAGTGGGTAGTTCCACAATTAGTTCTGGTACTATGAAAAGGTTCCCGCGGTGCGAAAGGCCCTAATGCTGATGTTGCAAGACAACATCATGGAAGAGGAAGACAAAAACAAAGACAAGCAATCTCTGATGAAATCTGTGCCACCCTAGTTCATCATGTGCTCATACATGGGAGGACTATGAAAGAAGCTGGACAGTTAGTGCAACCGAACCTAAGCCGTTACACGGTTGCATCCATTGTCTGTATTTTCAGGAGGGAAAACAGGTAATTTGCTTTGTTACTGTGATATATGTAATGCTGTAGTGCATATAGATTGAATCCCCGCTTTGTTTTCTGTGTAGTTTTTGCAACAGTCATGGATGACCATAATTTAGTAGTGGTCCTTTCATTTTTGCAGAACTGAGAGGCGGCCATCTATAGGAGGTAGGAGAAGACTTCTCACAGCTGAGCAGGAGACTGCCCTGGTGAATATGGTAATTGTCAATAATGCCATCCGTTTGAGGGAAATTCAAACCCAAATAGTTGAAGACCAGGTAGTCTTCCAAGGAATTACAGCATCAGCATTGAAGCATTTGGTAGCAGTGTTAAATGTGTAAAAAAAGTAATGTCTCTGTTTTTGACAGTTTGTTTGTATTGACTGAGGGCAAAGTTTGAATTGGGATTCAGAAGTTAGCTGTTTGTACCGTTGGGTGTGAGATTTTAAAATTGTGTGTGAAGATTTGAGAAAATGGTGAGTTGTTCCCAGAATGAGTCGAAAAGATCAGAGATCAGTCATGAAAAACAGATCGGAATCACAAGAATGTGGAGGCGTGCTCCTCACCTTGTGTCTGTCCCGCGTGTGATCAGATCCTCAAGCCCTCGGAGAAGAAGGCCAAGAACCAGTATGGAGGGGTGAACTCGGGCCGTCCCGTCACACTCAGGCCCCGAAGAAGAGCTGAGCTCTGACACTCCTCCCAGAGCCTGTCAGCGTCCAGACGTTCACACACACACTACTATCCTTGTGGGGACTCTCCATAGGCGTAATGGTTTTTATACTGTACAAACCATATTTTCTATCGCCCTACACCAACCCTACCCCTCACAGGAAACTTTCTGCATTTTTACAATCTCAAAAAAACTCATTCTGTATGATTTATAAGCTTTTGTACCCATGGGGTACAAAATACCCTCAATTTAGGTCCCCAGCGTAACACAAGTCCCCATGAATTGGTGTGTATTCAGGTTCCCACCAGGATAGAAAAACATGCACATACACTCACACTCACACGCACACACACTTACACCCACACTCTCTCTCACACACACACACACACACACACACACACACACACACGCACACACACACACCCCCACACACACTCACTTACACTCACTCACTCACACACACACACACACACACACACTCACACACA